CTGAACATGCCGAGGCCGCTCATGCAAACTATCTCAGACAGTACGAAGTCAAATATCTTATTTTCAAAAGTCAAAAACAGTCTAAGGTGTACGACTACGAGTTACATACATATGCACATATGTCCCAAGTCGTAGATTTTAGGACTGACGAAAGCAAACGGAGGAGAGCAGCGTACTTAGATGGACGAATAACTCCGCCTCAAATTGGGGAGATGAAACGATCATGTACGACAGGTGTGGCAGAACCCTGCCAACGCGATCGCGATCGCATCTCGGCCGACATCCCAAGAAAGATACACTTTACTGCAGTGCATTCATGCAGGTGTGTAGTGTGCAATAGTCCTCGCGCAATGAGACACCGATTGCAAGTAACAGAGCAGAGAGAGATTCCGCGAAATCAGCTGTAGTGACCACGGTGGTCATGAGAAGGAGCTACCATGGTCACTACAGCTGTTTTCGCACAAGCGAGTTTTGGCGTTCGGTCAAGAATCAGAAGGCACAGTCGTGTAATCTTTGAGGTAGGGATTCAATGCTACAGGTCTCAAAACAGATATGCCTACAGAAGCGAACGCGAGCGACACAGAATATCCTATACAACGTCGCGAGATATCAGGTAAGCATGTTGTGAAGCTCTCACTTACTGCACTAAAGTTTTGAACATCTTTATGAGCTCTCAACTTCTTTTGTGCCTTACGAGGTTGATAGGTGGAACTATCCTACTATATATAATCCGCTAAGTTTGTCTGTTGGTGTGAGTGTGTGTGTATGTTTGTGTGTGTGTTTGACCGGAAATTCATAACTTCAAAATAGCGATAAAGCGCTCAAACTTATAAGTGATGTAGGGGGTCGGGCAGGAACACTGTTGGTGGGTGGCAGGAAGTGATAACAGTTGATAAGATACCATAAGCGGCCTCATAAAGGCCAAGTAAGCAAATTCATAACGCGTGTCACAGCAAAGCTAGAGCGTTGGCACCAAGAAGTAAGATAGGGGCAGGATGGGAACATTATTGGAGGGTGGCAGGAAGTGATAACAGCTGATAAGATACCATAAGGAGCCTCAAAAAGAGTCAGTTACCTCATTCAGCGATGGGGCGTTGGTTCCAAGAAGTCAGATAGGGGTCAGGATGGGACCATCATTGGTGGGTGGCAGGACGGTAGAGGATGCCCCCGAAGTTCATGGCACGAGTTGTAGCAACACTGGGGAACTGCTTCCAGCAAGTCATTCAGAAGAGGTTACAGAGCATTGGTGGAGGGATATAAGTTGTACATAGTGTGAGAAGAGAGCTTATAAGCATCAGTACCTGTTCGCATCCTTACTGTTCAGCCTGAACTTGAGCCGCGGTGCCCAAGAAACAATGGGCAGGGGTGTTGTGAGTCAAGTTATTTCATCTCTTAGCGATATGGTTGGGACTGATTCGACCGCTGAGCTTTCCAGTTTCGACAAAAATCAAAAGCCCTGGAAGCAAGTACTGCGATGTGAGGATATTTCACTATGATGCCCATGTTATTACCATCGAAACTCTTTCAACCGCTAAGCTGTCCTATTTCCAACGAATGGTGAATGTGAGGATATTTCACTATGATGTCCATGTTATTACCATCGAAACTCTTTCAACCGCTAGGCTGTCCTATTTCCAACGAATGGTGAATGTTTTTAGAAATGTGATAAGCACCAGACATTAGAAAATGTTCATTAAACAGGAGAAATATAATGAAATGGGTCGTATCTCAAAAAATGACAATTGGGCCAAGTGTTTGGGGTCAGTACAGAAATCCTGTCAGCGATCAGTACCATTACCATAGATTCAACCATGCGCGCAGTAGTGCGCGTCAGCCAAGCTGGTTTATTCAATAAGGCCTAACGTTTCGACTTAATCGTCGTCATCAGAGGCCTGAATGTGTTTCAAGGATTAGATTGCGCTCTACCCCACCAAGCGCCTCGTCAACTCTAGCGGTTCCGACATCGTGTCAGGAACCCCTCGAGAAGACCCCAATAATGCGAAGGCCAACCAACCGCTAGAGTTGACGAGGCGCTTGGTGGGGTAGAGCGCAATCTAATCCTTGAAACACATTCAGGCCTCTGATGACGACGATTCAGTCGAAACGTTAGGCCATATTGAATAAATAGTTCCACCTATCAACCTCGTAAGGCACAAAACAAGTTGAGAACTTACATCTAATAATGCCGAGGTGCAAGAAGAGAGAGCTGGAGAATCTTTTTGAGCGATGTTTTATAGAAGTATGCTATAAGAAATAAGCTACAACCTGGAAGGAGACATGAAATGATATTCTTTAATTAAAAATAAGGATCGAAAGCCCAAGTTAGCAAAGACGGGGTAGAGGTTTACACTCCGGCATGCGGTGGAACCGGAAATAGGCTTTTCCTCAGGTAATTGCATTGAAAAACTGTCCAGCGTTTGCCTAATACTTAGAGCTTGGCCTCACACAGAACACTTTTAGTATTATAGATATCACGCCATTTCAAAAGAATGGATACTCGTCAAGAGGTATTTCTGCCGATGACACGTTCAATTTAACGTGGTATTCTTTGCGCTTAGCTTCAAATCACATTCACTGACGAGTGGGATAGAGATTTGTTCTGTTTTCGGAATATTGGTATAGTAATCGTTAATAATATTAATAATAATAATAATAATGATAATAATAATAATAATATCATAAAAATATATAATAATAGTGTGGAAACACACAACCATCCAAAAGCTTTAATCCTCAAAAACCAAGTTTCGCAAAGAAATGAGTGTGTCCTGCAATGTAGTGTGTTGATGCACCTGCGCAATGTTTTCCACTTGATGCGCAAAGTCCGGGAGTACTGTACGCAGCCTGACATCCAGAACTTATAATCTTGTCGCAGGCGCACCTTAGCGGGAGCGTTGAAGGCAATCATTTTTTCAGTTTTCGCTGAGTGCCGCGCAGGTGGTGGGCTCTTCACGCCCTCCCTCTTTACAATCCTGTTATTTTTGTCTTTTTGTTCAGCTTGTTTGCCATTGCTATATGGCTTGTTAATAAACGGTTTGCCTTCCTGAACTACACTCACAAGGCGCTAGAATCAAACCTAGAACTTCAAGATCCTACAATATACTTGTGGCGCCAATGATGCAAAAACAATCAGTTCAGGAACACTTTAGGCAGTTCTCATCTCGTTATTGTCCTCTCTATTTTTCTATGACACTTTTGAATGCTTCTTAGTACGTTGTTTTCCTCATGCCTCAGACTTCAATACATTAAATTCATAAAGCTTCGCTTGTGGAATGTGCAAGTGACAGTTATATCCTGAATACCTTATTTCTGATGTGCATTTAAAATCAATGCAGCACGCCGCTGAGTCCGCAGCGCACGCGCTCGCCAACGAAATACGTCGCGGTATGTAATGGGTTGTTTCCTTCAACTGCGGCGATTTTATGCTCTTTTCTGCTCTCTACATGAAGGTTCTGTGACCACCGTGCCTTACACATTTCAGTGTATCATGACGTATATAATTTATAACATAGAATCGGGGACGCGAGCGCGGCGTGGCATGAGCGCGCGTCCGGCTACCCTGCTCTGTCTACGGACAACTTGAACTTCACTCTGAACGCGTTGATCTTCTCTTTTTCTCTGCACTCTTTTATCCGCATCGTACACTACGTGGTTGTTTTTTGCGCATTCCAGCTTTTCACCTATTATAAGTAGCTCACCCAGCACGGGGGCCCCTCGCCTTGAAAAACCCCATTTCCTGACTCGTCATACAGTTTTGCACGTTCTGATGCTTTGGCAGCAGCCGTCCTCTGTCTATCCATCTGTGTTACAGGGTTTCGTAATAGGACCGTGGGTTACGTGACATCTTGAACTTTTGTGCATGGTCCTGTTACGAAACCCTGTGACGCAGACGGATAGAGCAGCGGCTGCCAAAGCATCGAAACGTGCAAAAAACGTATGGCGAGCCAGGAAACGGGATTTTTCAAGGGGAGGGGACTCCGGGGTGGGTGAGCTACTTATAGTCGGTGAAAAGCTGGAGTGAGCGAAGTCACAACGGCCATAGAGTGCCATGCGGACGAGAGAGTGCAGAGAAAAAGAGAAGATCGACGCGTTCAAAGGGATTGAGTTCAACGCTTTGCTCTACCAATGGTGATCGAGCAGTGATCGATTTGGGAAGGAAACTAACTGGTGGTAACGCCGCAGGTGGGAGCCGTTGATTGCGTCCCAGCTGGTTGCAGTGATATAAGCTGTGGATGGCTCATCTACTCCGAAGTCCTCATTGAAAAAGCTCGTATTCCTGCTTGCCGCTTGCTGTTCCACACCCTTCGATCTCTAGCATCCTCCGTTCTCTAGCTCTCTTCTGCAGGGTTTCGTGGAATGGAGTGTCTAAGAAGTCACATCACCCTTTTTGCTCATCCCAAGCGCAGTGCTGCATACATATACAGGGTGCACTGCTATGTTCTTTGGATATTACGCAGTATACCTCTTGTTAAGGTATGTTATGACAGCTCCTGTACTCCAAACTTTTACCAATAACGTTTCGGACCTTAGTTCTTCTTCGGATCAGCACTTAAAACTAGCATAGATGTTTTAACGTATACATATGTTAGAACACTGAGAACTAGCATCTATACAACACATTTGAAGTATACCTCGTTTAGTGTCATTTGTCGTTCCAAATATATACATCAGCGTGACAATAGGTATGAACATACAAATGGTTGGGATCAGCACCTGAACATTCTCACATATAACCGCTTATGAATAGAAAAATAAATCACGACCAGAAGTGATTACATAGTCGTATTATAAGGCAAATTCTCTATACGGTTTTGTTAAATTTAAAGTAGATGTTGAATTGGAAGCCTGCCCTTTGGCGTACCAAGATTACGTCAAAACTAACAGATGCACCTGAATGCAAAGGTATAGGAGAAAACGTCTTTGCATTTGCCTCGTTCTTTCCGACAGTTTCCCGTTTCGCCGTAGATAACGGAACGACGTAACAATGCAGGTGATACAAATTACACCTGAAATACAGCCCACTGTTGTTGCTGCTATAGCTGGCCGTTCCAGTCTATGCGGAGTATAGAAATAAAGATTCGGAAGAAAGATCGCAGATTGGGTGCATGTATATTCCTGAAGTAGTTTATTTGAATCAGAAAATCAGCATCCATTTTGGTTATAGTACAGAGGTGATCAGGGTTAGAAGGGGATCAGTGGTAGTGGTAATAAGTAGCACCCACCTCTAGGCACCATTGCTTGGCCATCTCTTGATCTGGTGCTATACCTGCAATACCAACAGGACACGAAAACACATGGAACGCAAATATGGCAACACTCGCATAGACGTGACCTTAAAAGGGATTGACAGGCAGTACTCGATCTTATAAGATCTACGCTCTTCGCTTTCCTTTACTTTACAAAGACCATATCCGCGTTCAAGCGTTATGGGTTGTACGTGCACGATCATGAACCAGTACTCCATGAAGTGACTGCACAGTGAGAAGGCAGCAAAAAAACCCCCGGGAATTTTCTGAACGTATACCTCGTTAGCGGTGAGCGCCTTGGACGAGTTCAACGGAAGTCTGCACTCACAATCAGCAGAGTTCGACGTGTAGTGTAGTTCGCTGCGGACGGCTGGGCGTGTCAGGCAGCATGGGTTTGGCTGGTGCCAAACCCGTTCTCCACCAGTTGTTAAAGCGAGCAATGATATGACTGTATCACATCCTTCGCATTACTCGTTTTCTACCACATTTTGTCGAATGCGCCCAAAGAAGGCAGAGAGGCTTCGACGGGGTGACACAATCATACTGCCGGACACGCCCAGCCATTCGCAGCGAACTAGAGTGTACAACCAGTTCCCGGCAATAGCACAGGAAGTCACCCTACGACACTCCAGACAACACCATGTACACAATTCTACGTAACCTGTTGTCTTGCAGAGAGAAAATAATCGTGGTTGCAATGGTTGCAATAATCACGCGTCTCTAGCTTCTTTATCTCGCCGTTTCGAGTGACGAAAGTGATATATTCATTGCGAATGCGGATAACGATGAGAAACGCATCTTACGAGGCATTTCGCGTATCACTTGAACGCAATCGTCTTTTATTTCGTTGGTCAGAAAAAAACTGTTCTTGCCGTAGGCATGTTTACACTTCAACACATATCGTGTTCAACTCTTATATTGACAGAATTACGAGGATAGAAGTCTATTCACCATCATTTATTCCATCTACGCCGAAAATTTGAATTTGACTTACT